TGCAATCAACTTGATCCCAGTGATGTGTTGGCCGGTGGGCCAACATTTACATTTACATCATTGGTTAAGAGTGTAATTCTGTGCACTAAGACCCTTAAGGTTTATGCTATCATGACTTGCATATTTTTGAGCATCGAGGAAAGACCTATTAGCATAGGTCTTAACATCTTGCATTTGCCAGACATGGAGAAAAACTTTGCTTTATGGTTAGGTCAGCACAAAGATTAGAAAAAATATGCTGTAAGAAAAGGCAACTTTAAAATTCAACACAGAACCTAGACTCATTGTGTAGACTTTAAAATGGAATTAGGGCACCATTTTCAGGTTCCTCTGTTTACACACCCCAAGTGCTTTCTACTTTACAACTCTTGAAGAAGTTCATGGAATTATTCGGTCACACATAGGATGGTATGCTTTCTTCTGCGTGGATTTCTCAATTTTGAATACCATTTGGATGACCGTTTCCTTTAGTCTTCAAGCTCCTGGACACCGTTTTGAATGATTGGGTGTCATCCGCTGTCTTCACAATGTCTAACTTTTAACGCCCAAGATTCACTGACTGTTTGGGGACAGTTTAATGTGGAGTAGGGCCACACGGCAGCAACAACTTGCTTACTATGTAATTTCTATAAACAAAACAAATTCACTGCCATTGAGTTGATTCCGACTCAGCAACTCTGCAGGACAGCATGGAACTGCTCCTTTGGATGGTTGTTTAAAAAAAAATCATTTTACTGGGGGCTCGTACAACTCTTATCACGTGTCAAGCACTTTTGTACATTTGTTGCCATCATCATTTTCAAAACCTTTGCTTTCTGCTTGAGCCCTTGGTATCAACTCCTCGTTTTTTTCCTGCCTCCCCGATCCTCCCTCCCTCATGAACCTTTGATAATTTATAAATTATTATTTTGTCATATCTTACACCATCCGACGTCTCCCTTCACCCACTTTTCTGTTGTCCATCCCCCAGGGAGGAGGTTATATGTAGATCCTTGTAATCGGTTCCCCCTTTTCACCCCGTCCCCCCTCCTCCCTCCCGGTATCGCCATCTCACTACTGTTCTGAAGGGATCATCTGTCCTGGCTTCCCTGTGTTTCCAGTTCCTATCTGTACCAGTGTACATCCTCTGGTCTAGCCAAATTTGTAAGATGAGCCAGACAGGTGCAGTGTAGCAACGATGAAACATATAACTTTCCTCTAGTTCCTAAATGCCCACCCCCACCCCACTATCATGATACAATTCTGCCCCTTTGGATTTCTGAGCTGTAAATCTTTACAGGAATAGAAAGTCTCATCTTTCTACTGTGGAGCTTCTGGTGGCTTTTGAACTGCTGCTTTGCAGTTAGCAGCCCAATGCAAAACCCATTAGCCACCCCAGGAAACCTTTAAAGTGGAAGCTCCCATCTATTGAATGAATAAATGTCAGTACACAAGAGTCACTTCACTGGTAACATGTTTGTTCTCTGGGTCAAAGGATTGAGCAATATTTAACTATTTTAACTTAATTTTTATCTCGTTAATTAATTTTAATAAATCATTTTATTGGGGGGCTCTTACAGCTCCTATAACAATCCACACATCCATTGTGTCAATCACATTTGTGCATATGTTGCCATCCTTTTCAAAACATCTTCTTTCTACTTGAGCCCTTGATATCAGCTCCTCATTTTATTATAACTTTAATATCAATAATCACAAGTATCATAAGGAGGAATGGAGACAAGGAACTGGGAGGAGGTGGGATGGCTGATATTACATTGAGAAGATTGCAACGAATAAGATCAAACTGAGAAAACTTCAAACATGAGAATTCACTAAGTAAGCTAGGTACAAAATATATCGAAGTCAATAGTATTCACATATTCAAACAAGAAAGCCCTAGACGAGGGTAAGCAGCTTAAGGATAAGGTTGCACACCTTAAGGTACTTTCATGCCCCAACTTTGTACTTGGGACACACAGCTTGCCACACCTTACTCTTGGTCCTGCAAACAACTATCTAGAGGACATATGTTATTATAGCAACAGAAAGAGTTAAAATATCTAGGTATCAACTTAACCAGAAATGTGAACTATCTATAGGTAGAAAAACAAAGGAAGAAGTTTAAGTTTTACTAACGCTGAAGGCATTGGTAAAACACAAGGCTCCAGGAATTGATATAATGCCAACTGAAATGTTCAGTACAAGGAGGCAATGCTTGAAGTGCTCACTTGTCCATGAAGAAAAATTTGTAAGACAGATTCCTGCCCATTCCAAAGACAGCTGATCCAACAGAAATGCAGAAATGGTCAAACAATATTATGGCCACATAATAACAATCTTAAGTAAAATATGGAATATTATTTAAAAGCAATCGCAGCCATGCATTGACAGAGAAAAGCTAATTCAACCCAGACTCAGAAGAGGTTTTAGTCAAACAAAAGATAATCATTGAAGATGTCAGATGGCTCTTGCTAAAAGTAAGAGAATACTAGAAAGCTGTCTACCTATTTTTTACTATTAGAAGGCATTCACCTGTGTGGCTAATAAATTATGGATAACATTATAGGGAATAGGAATCCCACACCTAATTTAGCTTACATGGCATCTGTACAATGACCAAGGCGCAGTCGTTTGGACAGAACAAGGGGACACCGTGCGGTTTAAAATCAGAAAGCTGTGCATCAGGGTTATGTCCTTTCACTTTATTATCCAATCTGCATATTGAGTAAGGAATCCAAGAAACTGGCCTGCACGCAGCATAAGGACTGGAAAAAGCCACGTTAACAACTTGTGATGCATAGACGCCATTTTGCTAGCTCCAAGTGAAGAGGCCTTGAAGCACTGATAATGATCGAATGCTACAGCCCTCAGTAAGGAATGCTCCTCAATGTAAAGAAAACCAATAGCCTCACAACTGGGCCAATAAACAACTTCATGATAACTGGAGAAAAGACTGAAGTTGCCAAGGATTTCATCTACAATCCATCTACTTGGATCTACAATCAACACCCAGAAGAGCAGCAGTCAAGAGCTCAAATCATGTATTGTACAGGCCAAGCTGCAGGAAATGCCGTCCATAAAGTGCTCAGCAGCAAGAGGGCCACTTTGAGGACTAAAGTGTAACTGATGAGGGGTGGGGGATGCGAGGAAGCTGCATGAAATCAACTGGCCATTTGAAAACAGGCCCATGGAGTAGAGGCAATCTACTGTGCAATGGTTGACAAAGACAGCCTGGGTTTGGTGGCTGTATAAAAACGTTAGAGCTGCCTGGAGCTCTCCTGTAATTTACAGGACAATCAGATGCATGAAACTTACCTCCTTCTCCTTTTCATCCTGATGAACTTTGGCAGAAAAATTGGTGAGCACCTGAGAAGACTTTTTTTGCAGTTGAGTTGGCTAAATTATATCCTTTAATTTTCTCGGTTGAGGGACACCACCTTTAGGTGAATAGCCTGGGTATTTTATCACAGTCATCTCAGAAGAAAGTAAAAGGGCTCCTATGAGACCTTCCACTCGAGGTCCATTTCTCACATGTGTGTCGAAGGATCTATTTCTATAAACTCCAAAAATCATCAATAGTCACCAAGACCTACTTCAGATTAGTGTAAATATTTACTGATTGCTTAGAAGTAAGTTTGCCTTCTGAGTGCCATCAATTCAGCTTCTTGCTCTGAAGTAACTTCCAGGGACAGAACTATTTTTCAGGACATCTGTAGAAGTAGTGACAGTGTATCCTCTCTGGTAACAAGAGTTGGTGGGATCAAGTTTAAGATAAGATCCATCTACAAAGAAAACTGAGTGAGACCAAGCAGGGGGTTCCTTGTAGGTTTCTTGGGGTGACAAAAGCTGTTGTTCAGTTAGGACTAAACAATTTTGTTGTAGTTAACCTTCTCACCTAGTGAGGACAGTAATGTAAGGGGATTTAAAGAAGTTTTTGTCTGCTCTCTGATATGAGAGACTGCATTAAGGTTGAATTTAAACTGTCTGATACTATATGGGGAAATAAACATCAAGGAAATTCCCTAAAACAATGTATGCATTACTAATCAGTTTTGATATTGTGGCAACTGTCCTAAGACATGAAGGAGAGCCCTGGGTGACTGGGTCCAGTTGGATAGGACAATAACTTATAGGC